TCTTCTCAATGTTAAACTCTTATACCAATCAGATATTAAATGATAAATACATCTGATAGTAGTGTAATTACTGACTTGCTTTACAGAGGTACATAGCTCTTAAAATACAATGCATATGTGAATCAAACTGATTTGAATTTTTTTGAACTTATTGCTTCATTTCTTATAGTTTACCAATTTTTGTACAGAGATACATAGCTCTTAATGTAGTATAGATAACAATTAATTAATGGATATATTAAATACATCTGATAATCGTGTAATTCCATACTGCTTTCTGGCACATTAGAAGGGAACCATTCTCCCTTCTGCTTTCCAATAAAGAAGGTAACCATTCGAAGGGAACCATTCTCAATGTTTTCCTGATAAGGATCAAGAGCCTCACCTATTCGGTTAGCGCTTACACGATTTGTGTCGGTAAACCGCCACTAAATATGTAGGATGGGAGGTTTTTAGGTGTCCTATGGCTCTAGTTGGCATAACCGACAGAGCATCATAGAGTAATTGGGCTGAGGGTTGTACCATACAATAAACACAATTAAAAATGCAAATCTCTAGTGTCAATGTTATAACTCTGGTAATACTATGAAAGTCACAAGATGAGCCAATAATTCCAATTGTACTATAATGAACACAGTGGTGGGTATTGAAATGATATCACCTTAGACACTCGTTAAGAAGTTATGAGTGGTGTCCCATTGTCGTACCTTCTTGATTCTTAGAACCACCGAGCTCTTGGGAGGGATTCGTTAGGAGTGGTGTCCCATTGTCGTACTAATTTTTGGCAAAAGAATAGAAACTTTATTGTATCTAAATGGGGTGTTTGCTTGGAGATAGATATGAATTATGGGAATACCACGAGGGTTGTTATGTTTTAGTCCTATTCAAGGAGGCTTTTCAGAGAACTTGCAGCCCTAGATTACGAGACTACTTCCAAAACTCAGAGCCATGTTTCTGACCTCGCTAGAAAGAGAATTAAATCAAGTCTCAATCGTGCTAGGCTTTTAATTCACACAGATGGTAGACGGTTCAGCAACGGCGTTCGTTATAATCAATGATAATTTCATATACAATATTGTCCATGTGCAAATGTTAGTAAAATGAGGAAAATAAAGCATGGATTCTTATTTGATGGCATATAAGTGATAACTGAATAATCAACTATTAGCTAGGAGGTGATGGGTATAAGGAAGCTACCTAGATGGATCTCCAGCTAGCCAAGGCTCCACCAAAGAAGCCCCAAAAGCATCTGCAATATGAACATTTGACTTTTCCAGGTAGCCAAGGCTCCACCAAAGAAGCCCCAAAAGCATCTGCAATATGAACATTTGACTTTTTGGAATCAAGCGTTGTCCCTAAGGACTTGCTACATTCCGCCAAATTTGCCTGCTTAGCCAGCCAATGCAACACTTTCATCCCATCCGATCTTAAGTTCATACAATAAAGGAGATGAAAAATTACACCAATAAATTGTTTTTCGTAAACTTCATACATCTTTACTTAAGAATCTTTACAGATGGAGAGCGAAAACCCAAAACCCAAAAACAGAACTCAAACAGATAAATTGTCCATACCTGAAAGCGATTGAGGAACGATTGGAGAGCGACGATTGAAAGCTAGACAATTGAAGGCGATTGAACGATTCGGCGGTGGAAACGACGATTGAAAGCGATTGAGGAACGATTCGGCAGTGGGAATGACGATTTTGAGAAGGACGATTTGAACGATTGAAGGGAAGCGAGGAAGCGAGGGACGACTCTTAAAGGGAACCATCTTGGGGAGTGAATCGTCGTCTTGGGAGCCGATAAGGGGAAGAGTCTTCTTGGGGGAGGGGAGCCGGGTAAAGTGAAGAGGCGTCTTGGGGGAGGGGAGGCGTGTAAAGGGAGGTATAAGGGTATTTTGGGTATTAAAATTTTTAAGACTTTGAGTAAATTTGTTTAATAAGGTAGCATAGATAAGCGGATGGTAGTGACTAGTGAGATGGCACCCCTTTTTTATACTTGATGTAATAGTAAATATTAAAGGTTGTTTGTTTACCTTTTAATAGTTTTATTAAAGATACAACATCTAAATCATTAAAAGGTGAATCTTGTTTGGCCAAAAAAAAAAAAAAAAAAACTGTCTCTTAATAGTTCTGAAACCCTCTGAACAATTTTGTATCTTAGGTCTCCTTTAACTATTCAGCGTGATAATTTTACTCTTAACAATTATATTTTATTTTCCATTATATCATAAAAGCATCTCAATCATTCTGATTACTTAATCATTATGTACCAAATCATTCAGTAATTGCCAAATAACCCCTTATTCCTGTATATATTCGTTTAGTTTATATTTTGCCTCCTTCAAGTCAACACCACGTCAACACCACGTTTTTTTTTTCTTTTTTCTTTCGTACTTTGAATTTATATATTCCACCCCCATAGCTTCTTCTGCTGTGTCTTCCTTCACTCTTCCACATTCAGATCTCAGATCCCAGACCTGTAATGGCTGAAACAACTCCGATTGCCCACAAACCAACTCTCTTCTCGCCATACAAGATGGGAAGGTTCAATCTCTCTCACAGGTCCGTTATTTCAGATTTTTTTTCAAATGGCTTTCTTACGCCGTTTGCGTGATCGATTATCTCACCGATGTTTATGTGTGTTTTGATTTTGATGATAGGGTGGTGTTAGCTCCGATGACGAGATGTAGGGCGTTKAATARTATACCGAATCAAGCGTTGGTGGAGTATTACAGACAGAGATCAACCAACGGTGGATTTCTCATCACCGAGGGGACGATGATCTCGCCTACCTCCGCCGGGTAATCTCGTTGTTCCTTTTGTAGTTCAAGGGTGTTTTAGTAAAATTCCGTTCAATTCTGTTATGATTGGGGTTATAAAGTTATGGCTACAAATCGTACATCACAATGTTACAGTGGTCTGCAGAGCGCACGCTATACACCAATTATTGAAGTTACATATATATATATATAATAGATTCCACTTTTTTTTTTTATTAAAAGGGATTTATATATGTAACAAGTAAAGTTTGATGATTGTGGTGTCAGGTTCCCTCATATACCAGGTATATTTAATAATGAACAAATTGATGCTTGGAAGAAGGTGGTTGATGCAGTTCACAAACAGGGTGCAGTCATCTTTTGTCAGTTATGGCATGTCGGTAGAGCATCCCACCAAGGTACTTGCTTTTT